AACTGCCGCCACCCAGAACAGCTTTCCTATTGCTGCACGTACTTTCCCCTTGCTGTTATCACCTCGAATCGCCAGCCCCACAACTGTTCTGGCCCACGTCCTTGTTGTTGTTGCCCCGAACAGCCCTTCCGCATTTGTTCCTATTGCTTTCTTGCTGCCTCGACTCCTGGAAACAACTGTCTTGTTATTTCCAGCATGTTAACTGCCTCATTGCCACCACCCCAAAGATCCAAACCCTGGTCGGCACCATCTATTTCCTGAAATTTCTCATTGCAATTTGTTTTCAATTTGTTGTATTTTCAATTTCTAACTTCTATAAAATTACTAGTGCTTGTGTTTAGTTTCCTCTCACCTTATTTCCATACCGATTCCAATTGCAAGCCTTCAATTTCCCAATAAAACCAGAAAAATATAAAAGTGCTTCTCGCATCACAAGGATGCACGATGGGTGGTTGTTATTCATCTAAACTACTTCAGAGTCACTCAAAGTTTATACCAAACCAATCCTAGCCACCCAAATATTTGCACGGCAAGGATGTGTTAATTGCCTAGATGGACCAAATCAATTTTACATACGGCAATCCTCTTAAACAAGGGACATGCAACCTAAAACAGCAGAAATTAATCTGATGCAAGAGATGAGCTGCATTTACCATGGAAGAACAAGCCCGGCCTCAGCAGAACTCACAAGTATGCCATTGTAGCTGCACAAAACATTGCCTTTAATTGGAATCAAATAGTTTCAGGAAGTTTGATGTTCAAATAGCCAAGGTGAATTTGAAACATACAATAGCCCTTCATATATTTTATAATAAACTAAAAAAAAATTTTTGTAGATACAAAGTTGGATGATTTCCTTACTCAAGCCAATCTATGTTGATTTCTCGTTTCATGTGCTTCAGAAGGGCAATTGAGTGCACTCCTGCCTGTATCCAGGCTGCATACATAGGGCCATCTTCGAATGAGAAAACCTGAAGAATTTAGAGAACTAGATACATGTCCGGATCTACTATCAAAAACACAGCCAACCATACAAAGCTCTCAAAAATAAATTTGAAGTGAATCACTATAACATATATCAAAAGAAATAATTCAAATTCAAGGAAGAAAAACAAACGTTACCAATATTAGAAGAAAAAAATGCAACCACAAGCACTATCAAACGCCCGATAAAACTGCAGGCATATACATCTAGGAAGTAAAACTGCGGAGAATATCATATATTCCTTTCACTCAATGAGAATTAGTCCACAAGCCCAATTTCTCATACGCAATTAAAAGAAGTCAAACCAAACAAATGGGGTTGGACCAAAACATTTTGGGTAGGAAAAAATTTTTACTGTAGTGATTGCTTTAACCGAGCCTGTCATTCCAATTCCACGTGCCTACTTGGATGATGGTAGTACCATTTCAATTTCCAGATCATCTTAATCCCATTTTTAATTTTGGTTAGATTTCGCATGCTTTTATTAAATTCAATTTATTACGTTGAAGTTGAATCTTCTACTACGCTTGAATTTACTTTTCAAATAAGGAATTTAAAATATTTGATCTTATCTTTGCAACTCTATTCTATTAATAATGATTTACGTCTTGTATTTAAAATTATAAAACATGGATATCCTATATGTGGATCATTCTTACAATGTTTATGGATCACTCCAAGTTGTGTACATTAAATTTTTATAGTCACCTCCACATTATGCAAAGAAAAGCTCTAAAAACTTTATCCAAAAAAAAAACATTCAAAAACTGAAAATGAATGAGCTAAAAAACATACATGTAACCACAATTCAAGAAACACCATTTGGTAATCAAACAGACAAGAATGTGCTTTCTTAAAGCATGAATGCATACAAAAAGCCTAAAATAACCTTTTTAACATGTTTCAAATTGTATAAACTATCTAATTCAATGATCATAGATCTCAAAAAGGAAACTTTTCAATGAATCCACCATTACCAGATCAGCATTTTCACCATCCGACAATTCATAAATAAATAATTGTAGTTAAATTCAGCCTACCCCAAAAACCAAACATTACACCTTGAGATTGCTTTTGCTTCTTAAAAATATTCTACTAAGAATGTAGTTGAAGCTTCCTAATATAAAGAACAGCAGAAAAAATAATCGCATTAGACAGTTCCACAAAACCGGATAAAATACACAAATAAAATGTGCTTCCTTAAAACACAAATACATACAAAAAGCCTACAATAAGCTTTTTAACATGTTTAAAAATGTATAAAACTATCTAATTAGATGATCATAGATCTTAACAACAAAATTTTTCAATGAATCCACAATTACCAGACCATCATTTTCACCACCCAACGATTCATAAATGAATAGTTGTAGTTAAATTCAGCCTATCCCAAAATCCAAGCATTACACCTTGAGATTGCTTTTGCTTCTTATGAATATTCCACTAAGAATGTAGTGAAGCTTCCTAATATAAAGAACGACAAAAAAATAGTAGCATTAGACATAGTTCTACAAAACCAGATAAAATCCACAAATAAAACAGAAATCTAATAGTGGTAGAGATCACAAGAGTGGAAACACCAATAGAATCCGCACAACATCCCATATATCCATTATTTACCCACTTTTTTCCTGCTCTGCAATAAAATGAAAGAATCTCCAATCAATTTAGTGTCTTTATGAAATTTGTTTTCACCATAACTATCTTCACCTTCGATCCAAAGAAACCTTCTAACTCTGACTGAAGTCAACCAAATAGACAAGTGAATCCATCCTCAAAGGAAAGCCCAACAAAGCAACAGAACTTGTGACACACAAGTAAAAAAAAATACAAGCCAAAAGCTCCAACTGGCTGCACAAAGCAATCTTTCAACCAGCTTCACTGTTTCAGAATATTGATATTTATATATTTCAATATTTAGTTATCAATCCTTTTAGTTCTTCACTCTTATTTGAGAAATTCATAGATGAACCAATCTAACTTTAAATTGATACCATGACAAGGGACGGTAACATAATCACCTTGAGTTCATTTGGAACCTCATTAATAAAGAGAATCCTTTATTGAAATCCATTTCTCCCACCAATTTACATTAAGCATGTAGATTTGTAAAACAAATAATTTCTAGCAATGAAAAAATCTTATGTGCATTTCCCTGCTTTATCAAGCAATACAGAGTTTTTCTTTTTAATCCCTCAGTTCTCTCAAAATCTTCACTCTAAAAACAACTCTCATATTATGAAATTCAAGGAGAAACACTAGTAGCTATGAGGAAGCAGCTGCAACAGAATAGAACCATTGAGGTAGCAATCTATTGGGGAGACAATGGGTCCATAAAAAATGCCTTTATCCTCTAATCGCTACATGCAGTAGAGTAGCAGTTCATTTTATATTTGCTCATTTAGTGCGCCAAACATTTAACACTTAGTTTTAAGTTAAAGAACTCCCTGTAACAACCTAATGAGCATTGTCCTAAAATGTCAGTGGCAGTGTCACCTATAGAGGGAACACATCAATCCCACTTCCCATTAGCATACCAAATTGCCAGCAGATCCAATTCATGGAAATAATAACCAGGGAAATCAGGCAATTCAATCTGCTTCTGGGAAGGACAGCAACAATAGCGTACTTATACGGCTCAATAGCATCCCAAAGTGGTAGTGAGTCTTCCATATCATGAATTAAAGAGTGAAAAGAGAGATGAGCATATATGAGGTTAAAAATCGTAAAATACAGCGCCAATATAGAGACCGAACCAATTTCTTCTTCTCACAGCAGAACACTAATCCAGCTAATACCGAAGAAACTAAGTGTATACACTAGAACTGCCGACACGAATCTCAAAGCAATCGTGTGACCCAGAATAGTGTCCAGGTAATCGGGGCGTCAGATCAAAAGGGGCACGATCCGAACCGTTCATTCAACATCAACAGCCCGGCCGGAGCCAGGCGGCACATTGTGGCGAGAGACTCAATCGATGGACCACGCCCACAGCACCGACCACTCAAACTCCACATAAGGGCGTAGTGTCCAGGTAATCGGGGCGTCAGATCAAAAGGGACACGATCCGAACTGTTCATTCAACATCAACAGCCCGGCCGGAGCCAGCCGGCACATTGTGGCGAGAGACTCAATCGATGAACCACGCCTACGGCACCGACCACTCAAACTCCACATAAGGGCGTCCGATCTCAACCAGTCAACCCACGGGCTTTTACTTCGGCAATCGAGATAGTCATTCGACCGGTCGCCTCAGTCAGTAGAACCCAAGCACATCGACCGGCTAGTTACCATCATATTCAAATTCAAATTATAATACAGATTTAGTATAAGATCAGCACAATTAATGGCAATAAGGTTGGTTTCCAAACCGTTCCCTCCTTTCTGTAATTGCATAAATATACCTCTATAAATAGAAAGCAAAGGGACAAATAAAGAGATTTTTTCTCTGGTTTCACTACAGGAATTACATAATTACTCTATCTCTCTCTCTCTCTGTTCCTCCTCCCAGATCTAACTCTCAAAGAGTTCGCAAAAGACATTTTTGGATTCTGCACCCTAAAAGCGGTGCGGTGAGCATAGACGCTATCCAAACGAGAAACAGAGCCAACTATGAAGGAGAATCCTGACGGAGAGAAATAGTGCCCATGAAGTTCAATAGAGAGACGGTGCGCCGAGACATATAGGAAGATGTCCAGGCATTACGAACACAAATAACGCACCAGTTTGAGGTTCTTTGAGCTGTCATAAACCTGCAAAATGCTCGACCGCCGACTGTGTAAGGAGAGTCTCGGGGACCCAGCCCAAAAGGCTCCCTTCGACAATCTGCCAGCACCCCATGGTTGGTCGGCGACCGGCCAACCGAAGTACCAAATAGTGCCCATGAAGTTCAATAGAGAGACGGTGCGCCGAGACATATAGGAAGATGTCCAGGCATTACGAACACAAATAACGCACCAGTTTGAGGTTCTTTGAGCTGTCATAAACCTGCAAAATGCTCGACCGCCGACTGTGTAAGAAGAGTCTCGGGGACCCAGCCCAAAAGGCTCCCCTCGACAATCCGCCAGCACCCCATCGTTGGTCGGCGACCGGCCAACCGAAGTACCAAAAATTCCCAACCGACAGACAACGTCGCATCTATTCCAGCAGTCCACATCCGATGGACCTAGTGGGAATGTTCACTCGGCCACTTAAGGGTAGCGTCTTATCCCAAATGATCTTGGAAACAATACCCCCGATAAAGCTTAGGATTCCTCACTTGAACTCCTACAAAGAAAGATTGATCTAGCTGATCGCTTCACCTCTTTTGAGTTGACGACAGGAGTCCTACAGATCAATACTCCATGAAGTGTCGGTTGTCTCTAACCACAATGAAAGAAGCCGCACTCCGATGGTTTAATAACCTGCCAGCTCGAGCCATCCCATCACTCTTCAAATTTCAGAAGCTCTTCCTGGCACACTTAGCTAAAGTATAGAAACCAAGGAAAGATACAAATACCCTGCTTCAGGTCAAGAAAAGGAAAAATGAAAGCCTGAAAGCTTAAATCACTCGTTTCCAAAAGGAGATGCTAGAGGTAAAGATCTTGGAGCCTCTCATCGCTCGAACTGCCATGAACAGGGGATCCGCAGCAAGCGATTCAACTACAACCTGAACCTGCTCAAGCCAAGGACCTTCGCGGAGGTCTTGGAACTATTGAATGACCACATAGTTGCCGAGGAAGACCTTATGGAGTCCTCGAAAATTAAACCGAGAGCGTTCGACCATCGACCGAAGAAGTAGAAGGAACGGGATGACAACAGAAGGCCAAAGAGTGACCGAGCACTCGACCATCAATCGAACGGTGATCCAAGGTCTCAGAAAAATAGGAGCAGCTGAGGCAACCAAGGTCAGCAGTAACGCCCCTCCGATCGGCGACCACCCCGACACTTCAAGCGAATGCCCATATACTAAGAGACGCATGGTTGGGCACCAGTGAACGTGTCGAT